TATGTGCGAGGGTGTACTAATGGATATAATTTGTCTCTTTTTCCTTCATGCTGTTGTGTGGTTAATTTATTGTATACGTGATGTACTCCTTCGGTCTGTGTGTGGGCTCCTCTAATATACGTTGCGTGGTTTGCCGCTAGATGTCACGTGATCTTCTTATGCAAATGTGACTTAGTAATAGTGTGATCAGGATGAGCCCATTTTTATATTATTGCTTCTATTTTATTATATTATTTTATGCCATTATTTTATTTGTACCGAAATTAACGGCCGTGGGGATTCGTTACGCTGACCACGAGACACCATCTATCCGCAAAATTTGGCACTAACTTCGCCGACAAGCGGCGGTCGCTCGGTCGGTATAGTTCGCTTGCGGACTGAAATCACGGAGTTTTCTATTTTAATTTATTCAGGATTTATGTGTTTTGCTTAGAATTCCTTACTTAAATATCTCTTTGGATTTTCACATAAATTATTTCTACAGTGTTTCCTATAACTTAATAGTTGTCATTATGCATTATTTGCAATATGTGGACGAAATTAACCCATATAAAGTAGGTCGTACATATCTGTCAGCATGTTTCAAGTCGAGAATTGTCGGATGGTTATGAAATTAAGTATAGATATTTTACCACTGAAGGCCATCCGAAACCCATACATTCTAATGTAACCTAAACAGTAATACAGACAAGACTGAGTGCGAATTTATGAGGTGAAAGCAACACTATTACCACTTACTGCAGAATCTTTCCAACGGATGCTTGAAACTAAAAATGAGAGAAATGAGACATGCTTTATTTCTGGAAGTGGCTTGAGACGGGGGTTTTAAATTAATGTTTTCTGATTAATTGTGAATTCAGTAACTTTTGAGGTTAACCTGGGGGTCCTTCACAAAGAGGGGAATAAAATCTGATTAATTTAAATGACGGAGATTGCGTGGGAATTATGCATGCAGCAAGCCAGCGTTCGAGTAAGCGAAGACAGTTCATGCCTTAGACGCCGCGGCCATTGTGATCGCCTCGAACGCTTAATAAACAAAATAATTCTAAGGAAACATCCCATTTCAAACATGTTTCTAACCAGTGTCAAGAGAAAACCTGGGTACACTTAACAGACGATACTAAACTTAGGTTAATATTTCGTATTTTACGAAATGGCCCGAGTATTGGTTCTTTGCTTCTGACGTCGAGTTAGGAAGCGCTGTTTTTTGTTGGCATTTCGTACGGGAAGTACTTAGTCAGTTTTAACATCTCAAGTGGGGTTGAAATATTTGTGAGAATGGAAAAAAAGTACAGTAATTTCGATTCGTCATAACTTTGACTCTCAAGGAAGCAAAGATAAAGTTCATTGTTTATGGTGGTTGCTTAATGCAAAACGCATGTCAGAGATAATCCACGAGCACATAACTAGGGCCTCCAACCAAAGAATTCCCATTTCTGTAGTGGATCCACAAAGCACATCATCGCTTCCACCATGCCCTGGTCATCGACACGAAGGTGAGCTGCCAGAACTTCCCATATGGAACTCGTTTTGTTAACTCTATAAAGTACAATGGCTACTGTAAGTACGAGTGGCGTTAGCATTCGCAAACATTTTTACGCAAAGAACTTACTCATGTGAGTCTAGGAATAAGCTGCGTATATTCCTACATGTCACTAACAGACTTATCTTTGTAGTGAAGACGTGTACACTGCGCTGTAGAAAATTTAAACAATTTTTTTTTAATTCGCTTTGTGGGTTCACTCGGCACGTCGGACACTGATTGGCCTATTGTAGCCTGCCCCGGGTGATTATGATAATGGAGAATTTGGTGGAATGAAGATTGGCAGTTGAAACCAAAGTACTCGGAGAAAACCTTCTCCAGCACCACATTGTCCAACACAAATCCCACTTGACCAGACCCGGGCTCGAACCCGGGATGCCGCGGTGGGAAGCCAGCGACTAACCGCTTGAGCTATGATGCGGCCTTTTTAAATATTTAGTAGAATTTGAAACGCTTTATCTTTTGAATTCTTGAAGTTTTACCCTCCTTCAAACTGAGGTCTGCAAGAAGGAGAAGCGGGTAGTGCCCGGAAATATTCGAAGCCCCAAAAGTATTTGTGCCCTCCCTTACTACTCTCTATTTCTTATCTTCTTCTTGAGGCTTCAAAAATAAATTTAGAAAAATAAATCCTCTTTTGAAGCTCGCTTTTCTCATCCGTTCTAAAAATCAATCTTTTGAATAGTGCACTGTTACGAGAAAATTATACTTCTGTTATAAAAAAGTAACAGTACACTGCTAAGGGAACCTCAGAGAATCATATTGTCACGTGTTTGGGTGTGTCACGCGGGTCTCGGATTCAGCGAATCTTTATTGTGCTTCATGTATACACTCACACGCCTTACAATTATTATCACTTGCAGTATCTCAGTTACTGCTTCCACTGTATCTCGGCAAATACTAGACTGCTTTCGGCGGCGGCCTTCTGAGGACTGTCTTATCCAAGTCCAAGTCCAAGTCACATTGCGACTGACGGTCAGTCAGTCAGTAGGTCTTGGTGTCGAGCCCCAGCTGCGGCTCATGACCAGATATTTATTAGCGTTTGGCATTTACGGTCTTGATCTGTGGGGCGCCCTCTCTGACGAGAGGACGGGTCGGTATTTTGCATATGCTGCTGGCCCTTGCCAGTGCAGTCTTTTCTCGGGTATGAGTCTCTTGGGACTCGAGACCGTATTTTACTGTCTCAGATTTGAGACTTTCCTTTTCGTCGCCTCTTACGACTCGCAGGGTCACGGTGGAGGTATTCGACCCCGCTTTCACACGGGCAACTGTTTTTCGAATGTATTGCCTTCTTATATATCTGCGGCCGTTGCTATGCATTGAACCTTCTGTTGTAACCGTGGAAACTCATCTCCGAGGAGATTCGGCGTTCTCTACGCAACGGCTCACTGTTGGGAATACAATAGCGCTATTTTGACTTCCTATGCAACGGTATATTCCAGCGTTTCCATGGAAGTAACTCTTCTGGATTGCAAACATGTGACAATATATTCTCCAGTTACAGGACTGCTGGCTAGAAGTCTTGGGACGTTCCATTTGGACACAGATTTTCATGGCTTTATCCTCTCCTCACTAAAATGGCGATAAATTTTCGAAGTTCCAGTATATAATTCTATGCTTCTCACACAGCCCTCCGTATTAAAATTCGTCAAAATTAAAGTCTAAAGTACCCTAACTTACCCCAACTTGCTCTCAATTACCCCAACTTACCCTAACTTACCTCTCCAAATTACGACACTCGGTGAAACAAAGGATTAAAATCCGCGGTGCTTGTCTGCAGTGGCTCATAAAACCTACTATTTAATGTGAATCTTAACAATAATATGCAAAGATCCAGTCTACTAAGCATTTTTCAGATCGTGAACAACTTTCGTTCCCTGAAGTAGCAGACCTCTAGTCTCCCTCTCACATTTCAGGCCTCATATATTTGGAAAAAAATTATGTATACCCTCGATTATATGTTTCTTGTGGAAATTCTCAGGTCCGAATATTGATGGAACAAAGACACTGTTTTATAATTGTTAACATGAACGTGAATTTTTATCTATTAGGTGTTAAGTGCCGGTCACGGTAGCCGAGCGGTCTAAGGCATGCACTGTCTTCGCTCGCTCGAAAGCCGGGATCGTGGGTTCGTACCTGTTTCCTGTGAGGTACGAACTGAATTCTTATATATTATTCTTATACACTGCCGGTCACGGTAGCCGAGCGGTCTAAGGCATGTACTGTCTTCGCTCGCTCGGAAGCCGGGATCGTGGGTTCGAATCCCCCTCACTGCATGGATGTTTGTGTGCGTTTTTCTGTGTTTGTGTACAGGTAGAGGCCTTGTGACGAGCTGATCACCCGCCCAAGGAGTCCTACCGAATGTGTAAGATCTAGAAAAACCGAAGTGAACGGAGAAGTTCATGGAGGTAGGCCTTGGCCCACTGGGGCTGTAGTGCCAAGGAAAAAAAAAGGTGTTAAGTAACAAATTACATACATTCTTATTAGCAAGAAAAATAAGTCTAAAAATAATATCGTTTTGGCGCATTAGCAAAAAAAAAAATTCTAAAATGGGGCTGTTAACTTTGCTCTGTGCTTTTACCTGTTGGTCCACAAGTCCACTTAACTTGAGAACAACTGAATGCATTACGGCCGTTAATCTTGATTTTCTAGATCTGAGCCGCTATTTCCTTGAAATAGCTGCTAATTATCCTCATGAGGCTAACTGGACCCCGTTCCAGAGCCACTACTACTCAGAAAATCTAGTAGCGCCGAGAATCGAACCCGGGGCCTCTGAATCTGTAGGCAGGAACTCTGACCACTAGACCACAGATACACAGAGTATGAAGGGTGAGCCATAAAACTGGCCCTAGCACTGCGACCTTCAATGGTTTGTTGTGCTTGATACACTCCTATATTCTGAGGAAGTTGGTTTCGGAGTGTGAATACGAATATCATAAAATACGCAGATATTTTACAGGCGAGAAAAGATAAAATTTGGCTTGTTGGGTGTACGTTATTTCAGTCTGTCATCTTTCCTGGAAGCAGGCAATCATATTCAATGTTCCACATGAGTTTCCTCGGTCTTTTCAGGCAACGTCGAGATAATGCCTAAATTCTGCCACGACCACTTCCTTCGTCATCTTTTCCAGTTAATGAATCATTCCTCCATTCGACGTTCTATAGTCTCAGCTGCTGAATAAAGTCGTTAAATAAACCGAAAATTCATAAATTAATAAAATATGGCAACTCGTTGCATACATATATCTATAAGATTAAATTCTATACATTAAACATAATTAAACGCGACATGTGTTGAATTTATTACACACTAAAGATAGGGTATTCAAGGTCAGATCCATCTTGACAACCATGATTAAAGCGAGCGATTGTAAATGACCTCTGACCTAAAACACGTGGAACAGCAGTAGACACAGATTTCGATATATCTTCAAGCGATATATCGCCTCGAGCACTGTGTAGTTATACGTCACTCTTATGTTGTCTTCAGCGGCAGATCTAATTCAAACCGCATTCTGCTTGCTCGACAGTTCTGCTATCTTTCTTGTCTCCGAAATATTGTAACAGGTAAAATACTAATATTTTAATAATCTCTGTACATTCTGTAAATAGAAAATTATAGTCTTAATAAAGACATACATTAGAAGATTCTGAAATGCCGGAATATATCAATATTTTAACCACATTTTTTATTTCACATTATGGACTTCCTCCTTATTTCATCGTATAATTTGGTATATATATATAAAAATTTGTATGATTACAAACTTTGCGGAAGAGCATAAATTTACTGGCTACTGAAAGAGAGGCAACATAGTCCTCCGAGAAAGTTTGTAACCACTTTCCAAACTACTCCACGTCTTAAAAAGAAGACTTGAATCTACAGGTGCACCTTCGTTGAAACTTCAGGATTCATGTGTTTCTTGAATTTAAATATACGTACATTAAGCCTCGGCCGAGAAAACCTAAGAATTAGGCCGGATTAGCCCAGTCGATATAGCGACTGGCTTCGGGCTGGACGACTGAGGGTTCGGAGTTCGAGTACCAGTAGGGTAAAAAATTGTATCTTCTCCACGTCGTCGAAACCTGTTCTAGGGCCCACTCAGACTCCTATCCAATTGGTACCAGGGACTCTTTTCCCGTGGTTAAAGCACCAGGAGCGTGAAACTGATCACTCACCTCCAACTAGTGCCGAGGTGAAGAAAATGTGGATCTATACATCCACTCCCCCATACACCTTCATGGCATAGCGCTTAATTAGTTAAGCACAGGTACAACATTACCTTTCATTAGGATTTATACAGGCCTGCTCCAACTTTCCATATTACGTAACTGCAAATAGGCTAACAGTGTTTGTGTGTGTGTGTCTGTAGGTCCTTATCCGATAAATGCAAGCAATACTTTACGAAAATACTGCAATTGAATTATCTTCATGTGAAACTTCTAGAATGAAACGTGACAGCCACACCAACGGGCATTTACACTTGGCAGCAAACGCTGAAGACGACAGGAGTAACTCGTACCAAGGGAAGGAGTACAGGGACAGCTATGAGCTGGGGCAGTATGGTTACGGCAAGAACTACGTGAAGCTGCTTCACGTGCATCGTGAAGGTAGCCTCCACACCATCCGAGAGTACGAGGTCGACACTCACCTCAAGCTGCAGTCAAAGAAGGACTTCATTGCCGGCGACAATAAAGACATCATTGCCACGGACACGCAGAAGAATATCGTGTATGTCCTGGCCAAGAAATACGGGGTGAGTCCTTCTAGGCGCTTCTCATGTACATTATGTAATCTATGACATAAATGTTTTGCGAACAGCAACAAATAAAAATCCTATTCACGAAGAAATTTAAGAGCAAAATAAATTCTGAGAATGCTTGTTAAAATTCAGTTCAGAATTTTTTGTCTCCCCGCCTGGTATTCATGAGTAAAACGTTGAGAAAAACGTAATTTTACCTGTTACTTTTTTTCGTAATTATGGGCGGGTAACTTGATGTTTCATATGAAGGGAAGAACACAGACAAAGGCCAATTATAACGGCCTCTAACTGTGGGGTAGTGCACACGGGATTACACAGGCCCAGGCCCGATGTAAAGGTAAAGCTATCCCTGTAACAGAGCGTGGAGGCCCATAGGGTTGTGAGACGTCGAGGCTCCCAGATTTTCTCTAGATAGTCGGCTCACAGATGGCGGTGTGGTTGTCATCCTTACTCGCCTGCCGCCTTTTACCTGCAGGAAGATTCCTGGTACTCATTTCTGTTAGAGGCTGGGTCGACCCCAGGGCCATAGTGAGGCCGGAAGGATCAGGTCAATTGAAAAAATCCTCCTCATCGGCCATCGTCCTGTGTTCCAAAGAAAACAGCGTTTCGGAAACTGGACTTCTATCCGTTCTGAGGTGAATAGGTGGAGAGGCATCTGCTCAGTTAGGTCCGTTAGAAGGAATTAATGTCTATTATAGGAATACAGATGCATAAGTCATTGTATTTGGCTACTTAGGTTGTTCAGTGACCCAACTGAGTACATGCCTCATCACCTTTTCACCTGAAGACGGAAGCAGTTCAAGTTTTTGAGGAGTTGTTGCCCTTCAGAATACTTAGGCGATGGACGAAGGCTAGACTCTCAGTAATCCCAAAGAAATATGGATGTGTGTGGGCAGAGCATTTTAGGAACTAAACGATAGAAAGTAACATGAGGAAGGAGGAAAATATGTCATGCGGGGCTTCATAATATTTATTCTTCGGCAAATATTGCAATGATATTCTCACCAAGGAGGACAAGATTAAAAGGGCAGATTAGAGTTGCGTACAAAATGTTAGACTAGAGAACTGTAGGTAGGAGACAAGTTTGGAAACCTAGGAGGAGCATAAGATTATATTGAACGTTAAAGAAATAGCTGGGTAAAAAAAAGTAAAAAGTAAAGCTATCCTTGTAACAGGCCGCGAAGGCCCGCGAGGTTGTGAGACGTTGAGGATCCCACATTATCTAGACAATCGGCTCAAATATGGCGGTAAGGTTGTCAGCCTTACGCGCCGGCCGCGCTTTACTCCCCAGGAAAATAAATTAATTAATTTCTGGTACTCATTTCTGTTAGTCCCCTTGACGAAGAGTTTCTAGAATAGCTCAGCGACTATTAGCGTCTCAAGAAGAACACGGTCCTGTGAAATGAATTAATTAGGCGGAAGGAGCTTGAGATGACCCTGACGTAAGTGTGGGTATCAAGGGTAAAGAGCGACAGAGGTGTATGTACCTTCTCGGATTATTCTCCCTCAGATGTCAGAAAGTCCGAATATTGTTATGACACCGTTTAGCTTGGCAAATAGGTATATAAATTTCGGTGGAATATACTGCCTCCGTCTTCAGAAGTTCCGGAACCACGTGACCGGATGAAACCATGCGCTTATTCTTCAGGTGGAGTCCCCGGAAAAATTCGCTTTGCTGGTGTGTAACCACTTCCTTTATACGTATCGACACGTTGTTGAGGCGTCTGTCCACGTGGAAGAATATCCGTGGGAGCGTCTCCAAGTTGACGGAAGTGACCACAATCATGCCTTTATCTTCTCTCCAAGAGCCCTCCGGTTTTGCATGGTGACTCACAAAAGGAACGGTGAGGCAAAAGAATAGTACTATATCATGTGTTACATAAGGGCAAAGGTAAAGTTTCCCCTGTGCTTATCTAGTTGAGCACCACGCCATAAATATTCTATATACTCAGGCTAGAATATTGCTCAGTCATGTGGAACAGTAAGAAAAGGTAGGGAACCAGATAAACTAAATATACAGCTTCGATAAAGTATAACAACACAGTGTGGCCTGAACAGCAGGACGACGCTAAAGAGTCCTGTTCTTCAAACAACAGAACCATGACGCGGTAGACACTCAACTTCCTTTATACATAGTAGAAAGGACACGAACCAAATTGGGTCTAGATTTTAACAAAGACTTTTTAAACCAAACTTGTAAATAAACTAATTATAATAATTTTTAAATGTTGTAATAAATTCATGCACATCGCTGTAGTTGCTAAAGGCTGATATTTTATATTCATGACATCTTAATATTAATGTCTGTATACACTGGTAGTGAACAGAGACATTGTAATGGTGGTTTCTGCATGTAATGATGTCCTTCTGAAGATGGTCGCTCCGACCGAAGCATGTCAAGGATGAATTATTAAAGAAAGAGAAAAACATTTATCAGCCACACTGGACGGCGTTGATTACCTTTTATAGATATACAGCTATCAACAAAAAAAAATAAATGCATAAATAAAAATACAAATAAATATCTGGAGATAAAATAAAATAAAGATATAGAAGAAGTTTTTATTTAAAATTTTAAGGGGAGTGTCAATTTAGATGATGATGATATTGATTTCATTTATTTACGACATATTTTTGGATGATGTCAGTAGCCCATTGTTTTCATGACGTGCTCTTCCTTCGAATCGTTGGAGGTTTCTTCTTCGTATTTTGGAGGCACTGGTTTCATACCTCGACCCACAGCCCGGTTATACTCCTTGAAGTTTCTCAAGGTAAACTTCAGTCCATTCAAGTTTATTGTGGTATAGTATCTTAAATTAGTGTATGATCACTTCATTCCACATGCTATCCAATGTAATTATCCGACCATTCCACCCTATATAGGCTGACTACTGACAGCATCATTAAAAACACAAATAACTATAAATATTATTCACTCACTCACTCATGGAGCTGAGCCCTTCTTGATAAGCTGCCAATGGTGCAGCAACTCAAGAACTTCCCAGTTTTTCATGGAATCCGAAGGTTCATTGTCGTGTTCACAACAGCCATCCACTGGTCCATATCCTGAGCCAGATCAATCCAATCCATACCATCCCATCTAAGATCCATTTTAATATTACCCATCCACCTACACATTGGTCTTCGCAGTGGTCTCTTTCCTTCCGGCTTTTCCATCAATATTCTATATGCATTTTACCTCTCCCCCACTCATGCTACATGCCCTGCCCACCTGATCCCCCTTGACTTATATAAATTATTGTGGAGACCGTATGTTTTACAGGTACAGCCATTGGCTGATACGTTATAAAAATTAGAACGACCCAAGCCTTCAAACCACAATGACAACCACAAATATAATCTCATTTTAGTTTAAAGCCTGTGTTTTGGACACAGAATTTAGTTATGTATTTTCTGTTCTCAGAATAAACAGAAGTTCTTTTCGAAATAGCTTCAGCCGTTGGTTTTCTAAATGGAGACACAGTGTGATGCGTGTGAGGTAGAAAATTTATATTTGAATATTACTCGTAAATAGATGAATTTTGGGGTGCTTTTCTGTTTCCACAGACCGGCCGAATATTATTGGTGGGTTACGTGACTTGCGTGTTCTGAAGACAACGCAGTCAGCATTCACTGACTTTATCCAGGATGAATATCGCACGCTGCCTGACACGAACGACCGTATCTTCAGCACCGTCGTCACGGCCACTTGGGAATACTCCACAGCGAACGGCGTCGATTTCGACGGCGTCTGGTAAGGGTGCACTGTGATATGGCGGCAGCTGTAAGGGATGGATGTTGCACCTAACCTGACATTGACATTCAAAAAAGTTCTCCTTTCTGTAATGGCGTTTAGTGGGTTGAAAGTCAACTGACATTTCGGAGTAATATCTCGCCTCCTTCTTCAGAGTCATAGTTATAAACCAAATCCGATTGCTGCCTTCTTACTTGGCTTCTTCCTCGACACTGAATATATAGACGACATTTTTTCCGAAACGTCGGATGGCTTTCAATGGACTGCACAGCGTCGTATCCCAAAGACAGTATTCTTCATAACCACCGTTCTGAAGAAAGCAAACAAATCCTACACATGGCATTAAACATAGTCATCCAGAGAGTAATTTATATATAAACAAATAAATTTTGACATTACATATTCAAATTTTGATTTAATTTTACTGATATGTTGGGTTTTTTGACTTTATCCATCGTCCTGGTTTTTAAGATAACAAATAAAAACACGACGTTTCGGAAACTGGATCTGTTTCCGTCCTCAGGTGAAGGAAAACACCTATTCAGTTGGGTCCGTTAGAAAGAGCTAGCCTCAATCACTGGACCAGTGAACGTCGTGTTTTTATTTGTTATCTTAAAAACCAGGACGATGGATAAAGTCAAAAAACCCAACATATCAGTGTGTTATACACCATCGTCAGAATCCTATAGTAATTAATTTTCTTTTTCGTGAATTTCCCTCACCGAAAACTGTATACCAAAAAGGCAGTTAAGATATGTACCCTGATTTCTGAAACTGTGTGGTTTGAACCTGACGTTGTTTTGTTTGTCCCTGAAAACATCTGACATTAATATTACTGTAAAAGAAACAATTATGTTCCACCAATCATTATTAATTATTCCTTTCTAATCGTCCTAAAATGATCCATTAATTCTGAGACTGAATGTTCAGCGTCAAATGTTCGACCCTTAGAACTACGTAATGTTGTCTGACGTCTAATTTACTGAATATGTCAAAAACGGAGATAATTTTTTGAAAGAGGTGAAATCAGTGGTTGCAAAGCGATGCTAATATGACATTCTAGTCTTAACGTACGAGAGTTATCGGAAAGTAAAGATACAAGTCTAGTAAAAATGCAAGGGATTCCTTTTTTTTTAAGAAATTGCAGTGCTGCTGTGTGAAATAGGAACCATATGAAGGACACAGTTCACCGGCCACAGTCACGGCAACGGTGTGCTCGCAGTGTGTGTTTAAATGGCAGTGCTGCCGTGTGAGGTAGGAACTGTATGAAGGGCAGAGTTCACCGGCCACAGTCACGGCAACGGTGTGCTCTCAGTGTGTGTTTAAAATGGCCGTGTTGATTCAAAATCCCGCCAAATGTGAGGTTCGTGCGGTAATTCGATTTCTTCACGTGATAGATGAAACTGCTGCTGAAATTCGTAGCCAACTTGTTTCTTTTTCTGACGAAAATGCTGTGAACAGACAAAACGTGGCAAAATGGTCTATTGAATTTGATGCAAGAAGAAATGATATTCGTGATGAAATAAGGAGTGGAAGGCCATCCGTTGTCACTGCTGAAATCGTCCCGAAAACTGGTGAAAGCATCAGTGCTGACAAACGTTTTAACTATCGATGAACTTCACAACAGTGCCCAGAAGTGCCAAGAACTGCTCCCCATGGCTAAGAGAGCAGGCTGGAGGTTCCTACGGCGTTGGAATAAAGGAACTCCTTCCCAGGCTCACTAAGCGCACTGCGATCCACGGTGACTGTGTTGAAAAAGAAATAAGGGTGCGTTGTAAAAGTGCTACAAGTGAATCCCTCCCCCCAAAATGCTTTGTAAATGTTTTCTGGCCTTTGTATCTTTACTTTCCGGATATCGCTCGTGTTTTGATGTAACGATATTGAGTGTACATTTAGAAGAAAAAAAAGACAAGTGTTCTGATTTAAGAATAAAACTTGAGAAGGCGACATTTTATGTCGACACACAACTATATCTTTTCTTGGAATATTTTGGAAGAATAAAGCAATCGGTCTCAGATTCACACTTCAGATATTAAAGTAAACATTGAAGAAAGCAGTCTTCTGGGATTTGGCACCGTGTATATGTGGTGTTAACCGAGGTTTCGGAGGAACGTATCGCAGACTGTCTGCTTTTACCGGTTCTCACGGTCTCTTCGCTTGCAGATTTCTTATATTTTTTCTTCTACCCTGAAGATGGAGGCGATACGTTCCTCCGAAACGTCGGTTAACACCACATATACACGGTGCCAAATCCCAGAAGACTGCTTTCTTCATAGTCACCGCCGTGAAAGCCTCAAATCTTATAAAGTAAACATTGCTATGCAGCTAGTGTTCTGCAGTATATAGAATGTTACCACTTTCCATTCTCTTTAATGTTTCGTACCGCCGACATGAGAGATACAAATTAAAGGCAATACCAAATTCAAGCCCTACTTTTACCGTTACAGACACAAATCAAAATGATGTACAAGAAATTCGATAGAACCTTCGGATGCGATTCGAAATTTCATTCACGATTTTTCCTCTTTTAATTAAGCGAGTAAATTTGCGTTTTTCAACTTCAGTATTACTACTAAGTAGAATTACATACAAGACAATGACACCGGCACGGAAAACAGCCGTGATCCATGCTAGGATTTTTGTATAAAGGTAATAGGATTCAAACACTGTGCCTTTGCCCAAGACACTATTTTCGCCCTCTAAGGGCGGCCACACACCAACTGTTTCAAGACAAGCATCAAGACATGAGACGAAAGAAGCAGTCTTGCTTCATTCGTTATTCGTCAGCATGAATCTGACGTCAGCGGTGTGCGGCACTTTTCATAATCTCATTCGTTTCAACTTCGCTCCTTTCTTTGCGTCATGTCGCAGACATCGTGTCTTAACTGTTACATGTTTTGATTCATACCGGTGTGCGGCCTACGTAAGACTTCTAATGATGGAAAATGCCAAATAATATTTGGATTCTGAAGAAGTAATAATATGGGTATTAATTTTATTATTGGATTAACAAATATAATCTTTGACTGTCAACGATTTTATGGGCAAGAATTTGTCATTTAGCAGAAAAGCTTATAGGTACAGGGTGATGCCTCATTCTCTGAAGAGGTACCTGCCTTGTGCAGTAACAGAACGAGATTCCCTCGTTACTCTTATGCCTTGTGTCTGTCCTACAGGGACACTGTGAAGGAGTGTATTCTCGACAAATTTGCTGGTCCTCCAGACACTGGCATATTTTCGCCATCCGTCCAGAACACCCTGTATCTCGCGGAAAGGAAGATTCTCGACAAAGTTGAACAGGTATGCGGTTTTTGGTCGATTTGCGACGCTATCAGTAACTGGAGTACATAAAGTCAAATATTAGGATGATCTATCTATATATTTGTCTGTCTGTCTGTCTAGCTGTCTTTATTCCTATTGCTCGTACTTGGAGCATAAGACATCCGTGACACGCTTTGCTTCACTTGAGTTCCTTAATCTTAGACAGTCGGTAGCACTCCTTCGACGGGGGATCAGCCCGTCGCAAGGCTGCAACCTAACACAAACACAGAAATAAAGGCAGACATTCACATATTGAGTGGGATTCGAACCCACGACCTCAATGTTCGAGCGGGCGAAGACATTCCATGCCTTACACCATGCGGCCACCGTGATCGGCTGAGTTCTGTATTAGTCGGAAGTAACTTTATATCTCGTTTTGTTTTACCCAAGAAAATAGCGGCCTCCGTAGTCTAGAGGTAACGTTCCCACCTCATGACTCACGGTACGCGGGTTCAAATACCCGGCGGAGGTAGTCGAATTTTTAAGGGCGGAAAAATTCAGGGAACAAGTCCTCCGGGAGGGACTTTAAGCTGTGTGTCCCGTGTCGTAACTTTACGACACATAAAAGAACCTCATATCCCCAAAGGGAATCACTGAGCCAAATTCCAGGACGTTTCCCGCCCAACAATAGTCTCTAAGGCCTCTGATAGATGGGGGAAGCATTATAGATACCGTTAAGCAAGTGGCCGAACTCGCTTGCTCGGCGGGACTGATGGTACGCACCATTTATCGGTAGGGTACAGAGACTGGTAGAATATCAGAGAGGGAAGCACAACAGATCAAACTGGTCGCGGTGCATGGGGAAACCCACCCTCTCTAAAAATAACTAACTAATAACTAATACCCAAGAAAATTATCTCGATGCTCATTGGATAGGAGCCTGTCTGGAAGCTGTGGCGAAGGATAGATTGCCTTTTGCCTAGCTCGTAGATAGATACTTTGCTGATTGAGCTATTCCTGCCCACACACAGACGTGCAAAAGATTTATAACTTAAATAAGTGTATGAGGCATCAATATAAAAGCAGCCAAGCGACGAACCAACTTCAGAGAGAAGAGATTTTGTAGAAGGTAACAAATCTCAGTCACGAATTTCCCCGTCTTTCATTGAAACCAAAGGTTCATTGTTGTGGTTACAAGAGGCGACCACTGCTCCGTATCCCGAGCCAGATTAATCCAGTCCGCGCTCAAGTACACAATATTTTAATTTAATCGTGTCCTATTTATAATGTATAATCTCTGAACAATTTTCTCTCTTTCCCACAAATTTTCTTTCCACCAATTGCTCCATAACAATTAATCATTCTATAATCGAATATAGTCTTGATACTGAGGGCGTCGTGTAATAACCATCTTAAACATTTAATATGGATTGGAATTTATATTCTGTTTCTGCTGAGAATATTATATGGTCTCGGAACCAAGCAGACCTCACTCTAATTAACTATTATTTATCTTAAAACCGCGATATTTTTTTTCCTACAGGCGTAAAGAACGACCTACTTAATAAAATGTGGAACCAACTTCAGAAAAACAGAACCGGATTGCATTGATCTGGGTCACATGTAGGCTAATTTTTATTTTTTTAATTCCCTTAGTGGGGGGTGGAGTCCAACTTGGTCCACTCGGCACGGCGGCCACTTTTTGGCCTATTGTAGCCTGCCCCGGGCGATTATGATGACGGAGAATTTGGTGGAATGAAGATTGGTAGGGGAAACCGAAGTACGAGGATAAAACCCGCCCCAGCGCCACTTTGTCCACCACAAATCCCACTTGACCAGACCCAGGATCGAACCCGGGACGCCGCGGTAGGAAACCATCGACTGACCGCTTGAGCTATGGCGCGGGCTCACACATATAGGCTATGTAAGATAACATGAAAATTGATAGGAGATTTGTCTGTATGTGCAGATCAAACGTATCGACATGTCCATGCCCAATAAGCACTATTTCACGCTTGACCTCTCCAAGTTTCCGCAGAGCGTCGTCAAGGGAAAGAACGAGGAGGTGTACCAACCCGTGGACAAACCTTGCGGCATCATACACGCGACTCTGCAGCGCAACGTTCAAGCACGGGCGAAGATGTAGTCAGGCCTACACTTCTGGAGTGTGCAGACTTCTCTCAACACAGTTGAAGAGCCCCGTCTTCTGGGGCATTAAGCCGTGTAGTCCGGTATAAATTCATCGACTTTTCAGAGAAAAATGCAATATGAAACGTAAATGAACTTCTACCGGACTACACGGCGTCACATCCCAAAAGATAGTATTCATCAGTAACCGCTGCGAGAACCCAAAATAAAATTTCCTAATATCATTTCATATTCCTCCAAAACTCTCTTTTAACTGCTACAACTTTTGTGTGAAATGATTTTTGATTGGTGGATATAAATCTTCTGAAGTATAAAGACGGACAGAGAGGAGGGAAAGGGGGGCGTAGCGGCATACATTGCGTTATATGGTGAAGCATCAGGTTCATCACTCAGCAATACAAAAGCAGATATTGCAATACAATCAAAGGCAATAAAATACGAATATTACTTGTAGTTTTCATTTCATGCATCCTGTTGTGTTATAATATACAGCACAATTTCTTTATTAAAACCGTCACAACAAGAGTCGTTGTTTACATTCCCTACAGAACGGACAATACTTTGTAAGATGAGGCACCGACTAAATAATTAACATTAATATTACTACATCTACATCACGAGCCTCCAAAACACTTTTTTATATATACACATAATATAGAATACTCCAATTTGTCCGTGGGAACACAACAAAATCACAAAAACCAACGACTGACTCGATGATGTAAAGCGTCACTCGAAGAATTTTATTCTTGTTTTATACTACAACTTTTGTTTTATATAGTCTAATTTATTGTATAATTTTATGCCAAGTATTTTAATATAATTAATACTATTGTATCCAGTTTTACTAGTCTGCAGTTCAATGGTGTATATATGTTGGCCATGTATTTGCCTGATGACGGCTACTAATAGCCGAAACATGTAGCAGAGCCAAACTAGGCACTGACCTCAATATAGTTGTGTTGTGACCGTTTTAATAAAGAAGTTGTATATTACTTGTAGATTTGTCACGAAAGTAAACAGACGAAACATGTTAAGGTAAAGTGGGTCACAAAGAGAGATATGTGTTTAGGTTAATCCTACAAGGATCCGAATGTTTGGATTTGTTCAACTTTATCTTGAGCACTGTTTGTTAGGGCTTGGCGCGGAAGTTTGAACAAGTGTTTGGCTTGTCGAAATAACAGGAAGGACTAATATTCTCTTCCACATATAAACAATTCTCAGTAAAGCGGTGTTGTGTGTTGACCAACGCGAGAGCTCGTCGAGGATAAGATGGACGGAGCAGTTTTAGGAAATTTACGCTTACGTAAGGAAGATTTCACGTCTTATAAATATATCGAAACTTCTCGGGTGATTAGCTGCGGTTTTTTATGCTAGTGGGGTGGGACCAAGTCCCTCGTACTGCGGCCACTTCTGGCCTATTGTGCCAGGCCCAGATGATAGATGAGGGTGATTGTGGAGCAATTGGTGGAATGAAGATTGGCAGGGGAAACCGAAGTAATCTGAGAAAACCTGACCCTGACCACAAATCCCGCTTGACCAGACCCGGGATCGAACTCGGGCCGACGTGGTGGGAAGCCAGCGACTAACCGATTAAGCTATGGCGCGGCCTGATTAGCTGCGTTAAAGTTGATTTTATAACCAACGTTTCAGGATCGAACCTGATCACGGAGTCAGAACGGTGTTCCGAAAAGCTGGTTTCTAATTCAATTTAAACGCGACTAAACGTCCGGTAACAATTTAATGAATTTTATAAATAATTTTAAATTAATTCAAAATTGAATGTTACTCAATGTTATGGTCCTGGGATTATCATTACTGCTTCACATTCGAGAGATTCCGGGTTCAGATTTAATTTCGGAAATGGTTTATACTGGCTAAGGTTTTTGTGGTTTTTCTCAGCCCCTTTAGTTAAATGCTGAAATTAATGTTGTAGTCTATGTCCTTTCGAGTTCATTACAGACTACTTATTCTACCACATAACTGGGGTATAGCGTCATTAAATAAAGCATAAACAAATACATAAAAAGTAAAAATTATTCCTGTTCTTATTAAATTAAGCAGCATGCCTTAGAAACATATGGGGAAGTGGAGGTATAGATCCACCATTCTTGAATTCAGCACAAGTTGGAGGTGAGTGGTCAGCTTCACGCACCCCGCAGCAATAAGCCCGAAGAAAGAGTCCGCCCGTATCCCTTGGGGGGCTGCCGGGTGGGCTCCAGAGCCGGTCTGAACGCTGTGAGAATGGAGTATTTGCCCCCATGCCGGGAACAAAAATAAATAGGCCAATAAATACAAACTCCGTGGCCTGTGGCCCGCAAGCGAAATATACCGACCCAGCGACCGCCGCTTGTCGGCGAAGTTAGTGCCAACTTTAGCAGGTAGATGGTGTCACGTGGTCAGCGCAACGCATCCCCACGGCCGTTAATCTCGATTTTCTAGACCAGAGCCTCTATTTCCTTGAAATATCTCCTCAGTTATCCTCACGAGGCTGAGTAGACCCCGTTCCAAACCCATTACTTTTCAGAGAACCTGGTAGCGCCGAGAATCGAACCCGGACCTCTGGATCTGTAGCCAAGAACTCTGACCACTAGACCACAGATGCGATAGGTCAATAAGCAAATAAATAGCATTTAATTTTAAGAATTAAAAATGTAGAGGAAAAGCCTGAACACGTAATCCGTGAAAATTGTGTTGTTTCAAATAACAAAATTCATTTTATCGGTAAACTGTATTGGCAAGGGAATTCTGATATTAATGACGAACGGGGGGGTCAGTGTCATGTACATTCCCCCCAGGCTAAGGGTACACGAACTTTCCCCCCTGTGTGGCCCCTCATACGCGACTGCGGAAATGACGAACATAAGGCGAAGTGACACGTTGACCAGGGGGACTCACTTTTTACGTACATGTGCTTTTTATTTCGTGCCCATAGCAGTAAACACACCGGAAACAGATATAGATACATTTCGTAGATAAGGTTTGTTTCTCTGTAATTTCACGTCCAGGAAAAATATAAAGTAAGAAGGAACTGCAAACTCCACTCTTTAATTTGTGAAAGATAATAAATAGAAAATTTCACATATGCCATGTGCAACTAAAGTGAGCCTGGATTTTTTTTTTCGAAATTAATTTAACATTAATGCGCGGTCTATAAAATTTTCCATATTAAAACAAATCAATTTAGGAACGGGAGAAGTGCTGGATATCCGAGTTTCCCGGTAGGGGCAAGATTTTTCTCTTCCTCACATAATCCAGACAGGCTTTGAGACCCACACAGTCACCTCTGCAATGCGTACTGGGTTAAAGCGACTGGGGCGTGATGCTTACCACTCACCTCCATCTAGTGCCGAGGTGTAGTTATACCTCCACTTCCCCATACGTCTTCATGGCATAGCGATTAATTAACTAAGGATAAGGACAACTTTACCTTTATAGAACAAGTTTTTTTTTTTAATTCTCTTAGTGGTGCATGGAGTTCAACTGGGTTCACTCGGCACGGCGGCCACTGATTGCCCTATTGTACCTGCCCCGGGTGATTATGATGATGGAGAATTTGGTGGAATGAAGATTGATAGGGGAACCGAAGTACTCAGAGAAAACCCGCCCCAGCTCCACTATGTCCACCACAAATCTTACTTGACCAGACCCGGGATCGAACCCGAGCCGCCGCGGTGGGAAGCCAGTGACTAACCACTTGAGCTTTGGCGCGGCCCATATGAAACAAGTTACCCAGGTGGTTTACAATTTATGAAATCAGAAGTGTGTGTATTCATGCCACGCTAGCCCGGGGAGAATTCAATTGAAATGGCTGCAGGGCAGGAATGTTGCACGCTTAAAGTTCGTCTGGCCACGCGCGCTCATGTTTGTAGGTCGCATTCCCACGTCATATTCACCAGCTTACAGGCGGGGGAAAATCGCTCGTGTGGCCTGCGTGTTGCTCCGACAGAGAATCGAATTAGGTGCAACACAACTCAGACGCGTTACCACTGAGCACGCATGCTCTGTCACATGACAGCGCAACCTTCCGTTCAAGATGGCGGAATCGCTGTCGTCACACTGTATACACGCAGTTAAGGAAAAAGATGCAAAAGAAGGAACAATAAGACTGGTGGGTGACGTCGTGTAGTGTGGTAGCTGGTTATGTATATTTTGGAATAATATAGTGTCACCATGTTAAGGGTAGAAGAAATTCTGCTTCTTCCAAAACGTTCGTTAACCTCTGTTTATATTCATGACGTCACATGTCATGGCCGCGACAACCTCTCTTCTGAGACACATAAGAATTAATTCCCTGTATTTGACTATGCACTTTGTTTCTCTGCAGATTGGATTCTTAAGAATGTGATAATATAGTGGCATGTAATCTATTGCTAGGCAACGACCACGAAATAGGCAACTATACAAGAGCCATTGCTAAGTAACGGCTCCACAATCAAGCATGTTTCCATTGTATCAACAGAATATAGTAATAATGGAAGAAAATTTTCGACGCCGTCCGTGCCGAGATGTTATAAGCAGGACCAGTTGGCCCTCAGGGTGGACGCGGCTTCGACTACCTCCACCGTAGCCCCCAGTGCCTGGGAATATAACTGGACCACCATGTTCCTGATGGATATAAATATGGATACATGTGCCCCAGGTTGGTGGAGTCTCAAAATCCGAGACACTAAACTACGGTCATGAGTCCCGATGGACTCTGACCCGAGAATGACTGCGCTGGCGAGGACCAGCAGAAATTGTAAATGACAGACCCATCCTCTCGTCAGAGAGGGCGCCCCATATCAACAATGACTCAACTGACTGGCAATAACAAAGATTTGGTCTTGGGCCCCAGATGGGTGCTTGACACCAAGACAGACTGGCCGACTCACCGTTGGTCATAATATAATTTGACTGTAGCGTTGTCGTCAGAGGACTACTGGGGTTCAGTCATTGTGAGCTGTTGCTGTGAGAAGCTGGTAGCTGAGGCTGAGGATAGTTCGGGAAGCCAGAGGAAGGAGGACTTCCGCATTTGGAAGCCGCTACTAAGCAACGGCAGTGAAGAAGTGACTATGGATATTAGTGTGTGTGTGTGTGTAATAACGAGCTGTAAAGTGCAGTCAGACGCTTATCAATCTCAAACCCGTCTATAGTTACACTTCATCACGTGAGAGTATAAAGGTAATTGTGTGGGATGAAATCTACTTGATGTTTCGTGTAAGGCAAGAGTAAAGCTGCTCCTTTCTTTTATTAACTAAACACTCTACCATGAAGACGTATGGGGGAGTGGAGGTATAGCTCCACTATTCTTGACCTCGGCACTGGTTGGATGTGAGTGGTCAGCATTAGCCCTGACCGCTTTGCTCCTGAGGAACAGTCCCCGGAACCTATTGTTTGGGAGGCTGGGTGGGGCCCAAAGCCGGTCTGGGTGCTGTGGAGAAGGGCATAGTTTCTTGTTCATGTCGAGAATCGAACGCCTGTCTTCCAGCCAGTAGCACAATTGCTAGACCAAGTACTCTTCCCATAGTCCTTTATATTTTACGTGTCACGTAATATTACCCACCCTCTTCAAATGCCACACTCGATTTTACTTCAACTTTCAAAACTTTTACTGAAAATTTGTATTCATTTCCTCCCACCCTTCCCTTCAAACATACCCCGTTCCTCCCAGTCTGTCAACAAGTGCTCTACAGAACTACACTGTGATCTCAGTTTGCCAATGGCGAGGCGCTCTAACCCATATGTAACGCTTTTCTGTAGACTTATCCTAACATACTGCTCATTCAGAATGTTTTAAAATCATTACTGACATTTGGTTGCTTGGGGAGAGTTGTACAATGTTTCTGTGGGCTGTGTACGTGTTTGTGGCTTTGTATTGTGTTGTTGACTATCATTTCCTGATGGGCTACGCGCACACAGGGCCACCTGTCTCTTTTGCAGAACGAATTAACCTTTCTACACACGGCACCCAGGTAAGGTTAGCTGCACTATGGAAGTGAGAAGTGCTGGCCAGTTGCACTTGGGTTCCAAAATATTTTTTATGTTTTTGAAGTTATTAATGATATATACATTATATATACGGAAGGCCCAAAATAATGTATACACACTTCAATACACAAAAATCTTCTTAAATAATCTATTGGTACATCTTCGGTTCAATTTTGAAAATTATCCGTAGATAACCTCTGTCAAAGTTTGTTATATAGGTTGTCTACGGACAGTGTCAAAATTGAACCGACTTGTTACTCATATTGTTACTATGGAGTAGACTGTAAATTTGCAAGAAATAAAAAATAAAGTTGAACCGAGGGGATACCAATAGATAATTTAAGCATATATTTTGAGCATTGAAGTTGTTATACATCTTTTTGGGCCCCTCTGTTTATAAGCAGAAATACCTCAGAAATGTTCGTAAGTGTAAACACAGAAGCAAAATGTCCAGTCTTCTCCCTGATATTCCTTAAAATAAATTTTACTGAAATGATAAATCTTTGGGGCTGTAGTGTCAAACGAAAAAATCTAAAAATTCAAATGGAATCCGCAGACTATAAAGCAGTGGTTTCGCATTTCCATAACATCGTCGGCTCTTTTCTAACTTGTACTTTTTTTTTATTGCTAGTGGGGTGGGACCAAGTCCCTTGTACTGCAGCCACTTCTGGCCTATTGTACCAGCCCCAGATGATAGGTGAGGGTGATTGTGGAGCAGTTGGTGGAATGAAGATTGTCAGGGGAAACCGAAGTACTCGGAGAGAACCTGCCCCAGCATCGCTTTGTCCACCACAAATCCCACTTGACCAGACCTGGGATCGAACCCGGGCTGCCGCGGTGGGAAGCCAGTGACTAACGGCTTGAGCTACGGCGTGGCCTTCACTTGTACTTAATGTTATATGTTTGAGTGTTCTCTCTTTGGTTAGCTTGAGGACTAACAATTGTGACAGTATACTGACAGGAAATTTCAGTAAAACATGGTCGCGAGTCCCAAGGGACTCGGATCCCAGAAAGACTGCGCTGGCAAGAGCCAGCAGCATATACAAAAGACAGACCCGTCCTCTCGTCAGAGAGAGCGCCCCACAGAAACAAGACCGTAACTGTCAAACAGTAATAATTAATATCTGGTCATGAGTCCCAGAAGGGGCTCTACACCAAGATTTACTGACTGACCGATCGTCAGCCGCAGTGCGACTTTGACTTGACAGGAAATTTCACAGAACCGTCAGGCAGTGAAATATGGTCAGGGGTATCTTGAGACTCGGAGCCATTGATTACTGCGCTGGCGAGGACCATCAGTAATTTAGCAGTCAGACAGACGGACTACAAAATTTCATTTTTATATAGGCCCTATATTAATGGTAGAATGTGGCACCAAAACCAATATCACAATGACTCGACTATTGTCGCTCTGAAATAGAACTTGTACCTCAAGTTTTCATGGCATTTTGGCTCTTACTTCTCGAATTCTACAACACGATTCTTCAAGAGATTTAGATTAACTGCCTCTCCACATTTTCATTTGAGGGCGGAAGCAGGTGCAGTTTGAGAAATGTCTTCTGTTCTGAATACGTCATGAGATCTGCAAAGTGCAGAAAGCCAGCAATTCCAAACATAAGACTCGTACTACGCGTTTCCTTATTATAAAGCAGTGTAAAGTCTGGTAAGTGGGCACTAAAGAACCGAGGGAACGCATTGTATCAATGTTAACGGTAGAGGCAAAATGTTCAGATTTTGCCTACAAAATAAGACGATTGAAGTGAAGCCAGAAGTTGCACAAGTTGCAGAAGTGGCGCCGTGTAGATGTTGTGTGAACCGAGATTTCGGAGGAACGTATCGCCTCAATTTTCAGGGTATAAGAAATCCGCTAAGGATACATCAGCGTGAGCAGGAGGCTGGTTCATCGTTCGTGGATTTTTATACCATGAAGATGGAGGCGATACTTTCCTCTGAAACGTCGGTTCACCCAAGATCTACACGGCCTCACATCCAAGAATACGGGATTATTCATAGTCACCTCGGTGAAAACCTCAAATCTTACTCAGAAATTATAATTTTTATTTTCTGTGTGAACATTTCTATTTATGCGAATTAGTACCTAAATTTGAATTTATCTTCTATCCGTTTGCAGTAGTTCAGTTCATCACAGATTCTTGCCGACTACCTCTGTTTAACTGATAGCGCTTGCCTTATTTTGTTTGTACTGCATTTTGTGAACGCAGTTCCCGTCGAAACATCTGGGCGACGCTGGGTGTGTGGTGAGGCACGTGACCTCGGAGTTCAGGCTACAGTCACCGGGATTTCCCCAACCGTACTTACCTGATCTGCAGTGTCTCTACGTAGTGGAAGCAGTGTCGGAAAACATCTGCCTCATAGAAGCAAACTTCCTGACCTTTGACCTGGGTGACTGCACGTCTGGTGACCATGTTATTATCGCTGGTCATACACTCTGTGGCAATTTAAAAGGAGAACGAACTTTCCGTTTCAGCCCTCCGAGGTCGCTGATCCAATTCAGGTAAAGAAAAATATCACGGGTTCCCAGAGGAAATTACAAATTGCGTCATATCCTTGTTCCTGGCGAGAGAATGAGTTTATATCATGCTCTTCTGTATCATTTAAAGCAATGGTCCTTAGAACGAAGTTCTTCTGCGCTGTTGCGCTATTTGGAGTAGGAAATTCCATCTTGTATCGGTGTGACGACACGAGATGAAGAACTGATGAAGCATAACATCACAAATTATATATGAAAATCCTGTAAGAAAAGTTAACTGCAGACATAGTAAATAAAAGCAGTGGAAAATGAACATTAAACTGGGGGAAAAATAATGATAATGTGACAAAGTTTAATCTCATTGAAATATGTTGCTGATGTAAATATTATATATTTTTCTCTTTGAATAATTTATATTGTACGTAAAGAGACTACAATAAAATCAAAATGAAGAGCTTCGAAGTGTCAGAAATGATAGCTATTTTATTCATGCCTTAACTGACACTGGAGCAGAGCTCTTGTTAAGAAGATTATAGTCGTTCAGCTTGTCAACAAATTCCCAACTTTTATAGAAATGGTAACTACTGTATTCAGGACACGCGGTAGCGTAGTTGGTTGAGGCACTATGTTACAAGCCGGAAGATTGCCGGTTCAAGTCCCTATGAGGTCATTGGATTTTTTCTGTTGACCTAAACCTTCCGGCCGCACTATGGCCCAGGGGTCGACTCGGCCTCTAACAGAAATGAGTACCAGGAATATTCTTGGGGGTAAAGGGCGGCTGGCGTATAGGAATGACAACCTTGCCGCCTAGAAAATGTGGGGACCTCAACATCTCACAACCCTGTGCGCCTCCACGGTCTGTATTCACAAGAGGCTGCCACTGGGTCGGTTCTATGCTGAGTCGCATGAGACTAGTCCATATCTTCAAAGTCTCTACCCTCAAGAACCATTTCACTATCACCCCTCGTCTATGCCCAAAACCCCCAAATTACCAAAAATATTCTATTTTATTCATTTTTCATAATATTTTAATTTTCCTTATAATTGTAATATTAAAAAAGTAAAGGTAAAGCTATCCCTGTGATAGGTCTTGAAGGCCCATAGGGCTGTGAGACGTCGAGACTCCTATATATTCTCTAGACCAGGGGTCTCCAAACTTTTCGAACCGCGGGCCACATTAGGTAATTCAGCACTTTCAACGGGCCGGATAAAATGAGAAACTAATAACTCTAGGTATATGAGTTTTATTGAAAGCACAGAATTTCATAAACTAAATACAAAGTACGTGAGAATAAATTATCGTATATTAATGACAACAGACAGTAGCAGCAAATGTTCATATTTTCATCACAAATTATAATAAAACAATTAATGTGAATGATGGAATTCTTTTTGCATTCTTAAAATTTGATTAAATTGATGTTCAAATTTTGAAACGCTAATAACAAGTAGCGACTTTAAATGTTCATCGGATAAATTTGCCCTGTATTTCGACTTGATGTACTTCATCTGAAAAAAAGTTTGTTCTCACAGATATGTCGTCCGAAAAATGGAGATAAATTTACAAGCAAATTTCTTTAAATTTTTTGAAATTGCTCAGAGTTCAGAAATTCCTTCCTTGTATTTGGCTTTAAAATGATAATTTTTCTGAAGTTCAATAATTTCCATTTGAATTTGACTTGGGACGTCTGCAGCATCACAGTCAAGCGGATTTTGAAACAATCTAATATCCTGAGCACTGGCATCCAAATCAG